CTCCATAAAATATATATATATATATATGATTGTGAAGGTCAAAACTTCATGAAAATACGGTAGCAACTAGTTCGTTATTATCAACTCTCCCAATGCTCTTTCATAAATGGCTTAAACATAAAACTCCTATGAGCTAATTTACTCCATACAAGGTCGGAGACTCATAAATATCAAAAGCACAAATCAAAAAACAAAGTCAACAACAATAAATTGGAGACTGTCGTGAACATTAAAAAATAATAATAATAAAAATAAGTCTAGAAAGAAATATCTAGAATAAACTAATAAAGAGAGAGATAAAAATGCAAGAAAAAGGAAGCTAAGCTTCACCTGCTGATATAGTTGCATATAAAAAAGAATCGTGTTACTTTGGAGTGTGTTTCCATGGTACGCCTCAGGGCATTCTACATAATGTTTCAATATTAGGGGAAAAAAAATGTATATCTATACTAAAGCAAATAGATTGTGTTTAGACTGATGATCACACCTGAGCATCTTCAGTCATTGAATCAGCCTCATCCAGAATGATTATCTTGAATGGTGGGCAAGGATAACCCCTAATTTTTTTATTAAAAAAAAAAGTGTGAAATAACAAGATTATAGTAAAATGTTATCGGTACGATTAGGAAATTACCCCTGGCGTTGGCCACTGCTTACAGCAACACCAGCAAAATCTTTTATCTTAGTCCGAACAACATTAATCCCACGGTCATCACTTGCATTCAATTCCAAAACTCTGGACTTGTAAAGTTCAGGACTACAAATAATAATTTTTACATCAGATATTTCGTTGTGTCAAAATAAAACTTAAAGAAACCAAACAGTCCAATTCATATTAATACAACAAAGACAGCTGTTTGAACATTTGAACTAATCCAAGTAGATTGAACAGTTGCATTATCAAATAAGCAAATCACGAATGCTTTGAGCAAAAACCTCCAGAAATCTTGATACCTCGCACCTAATCATAATAACCATAGAGAGGCCATGGTTTATTTATAGTTTCATGTTTCAACATCTATTTGTTGAAAAAGCTCATAGATAGACAATGTAGATAAAAACCTAATTCCCAGCTGCATAAAACCCAAGATATCTCTAACAAAGGATTCTAAAATACTCATCCAAAACTTCCGTGAATCCAATATATTTCTTATAAGAGATTCTGAACTACCAAACATAAATTCACAGCTTCCGCAAAATCATTAACAGAATAGCACAAACACGACTAAATAAAAAAGATAGAAGCAGAAACGAACCCGAATAGTTCATGAGCAATCGCGAGGGCGGTGGTGGTTTTTCCGGTACCTGGCGGTCCATAGAAGAGCATATGAGGACACTGTTCAACCAACGAACGAAGAGAACGAAAAATTAACAATGTGTTGAGAAGAAAAACACGACACCACCATAGTCTAAAAGAGAAGTCGATAATACGTACACTGGAAGTCTCGAGGGTGTTGGTCAGGACCCGAACGACTTCATCCTGATGCGCCACATCTTTCACTTGCTTCGGTCGACTGTCATTCGACAAAATGGACGACAGTCGAGCTTACGCAACATATTCTAAAGAAACAAGCGAACTGAAATAAAAAGAAAGTGAGCGTACTATTTCTCCACCCATGGTTGAGAGCTCTGCAACAATGGCGCCATTTTTTTTTCCTCTCCAGCCACTGGTCCACCTTCCCCTACACCGATAATAGGGTTCTTTGTTTGCCCCGCGTTCAGTTGGAGAGGAAAACTTTCGAATTATGGGCTTTAGCCCATTTTATTACTGGGCCTAAGGCCCATTTTAGATTATTGGACCTATGGCCTATTTTATAGAATTGGGCCTAAGGCCTGTTTTATAAGGAATAACTTTAATATATAATATAACATTGAAACTAAATTAAAAATAACTTTAAATTTTCAACTTTATTTTAAAAAAAATTACTCCGAACCTTCTAGAAGTTTCTTTTTTTAACTTTAAAAAAATGTTTAAAAATATAATTTAAAAAAATAAAATAAAATAAATTCATTACTGTCTTACACGTTTCAAAAATATTCATGAATTTCTTAAAGTAACATTAAAAATAAGATAATCTACCAGACATTAATAGATAATAAAAAAAATTAAACTTTTAAAAATTTTAATTGGTATTTTTAAATATAATATTTTAAAATTTTCAAACCGAGACAAGACAGACCTGTGTTGGTTTGTTGAATTATTTTTACTATCAGTAGACAAAAGTACGAGAATGTCTTACTTTTTTTAAAACGTTCAATTAAATTCATTAATATTATTCTTTCCCTATTTGAATAAAGTCGTTTATTTAAGGTATTGATTTTTATCTTAATGTAACGACTCATACAATCGATCAGATTCAGACCGATGTGTATAAACAAATTTATTAAGAGTTTGAATTATCCCGACTTTCAAAAACATCAATATAATTTATTCTAAATTAAGAAAAAGAATATATTTTTACGACGTGACGTATCTTTCCTAAACTCGAAAAAAATAACAAAATTTTTAAAATTAGAGGAAATTTCAAAATTTTAAAAGAAGCCCATAGTTTCTTGAAAATCACTTTTCGAGCAACTTATTTTTATTTATTTATTTTCATTCCATTATTATAAATATCAATTTAGAATCACTTTTCAGCTAAAATAACAAATAATTATTCCATTTTTGTTTTTTTTTTTTTCCTTTCCTATTTTCACTAAATTTTGAAACTTTCTCAATTTTCCATTTCCAAAACATACTTGTTTTCTAGAAAGGAGAGATGTTGGAGCGAAATAACGATAACCGAGCTGTCATTTAGAAGTCTTAGCAAGTGATCCGAGTTATTTCCCTTTTAACGATGAAGCTTATGCCCTATTGTCCCACTGGCCGACTTTGATCATTGTTATTTTGATATCATATCTAATATTCAGAGTTTGCCTTAATCTGATACCGCTCTTTCGACCCAGGTCGTAATAGTGCTTTACCCTCTTAGATGTATAGTCAACTGCTGCCCGTCAACGTAATTTGAGGAGAACCAACTAATTCCAGGTTCTAGTGGCATTTCGCTCCTAACCCACTAATTCTTCAACATTAATCGATTTAAACAAATTAATGGTTAATATATATTCTTAATTTCACAATCTACTTAATGTTTGACGAATAATTAAAATAAATGTCGAAAATGCATATTTGAAAGGAAATATATATTTTTTTAATTCGGGAATAATTACAATAAATATTGAAAATGCATATTTGAAAAGATATATATATATATATATTTAAATTAATTCTCTAATTTAATGTTAACGAATAATTAGAATAAATGTAAAAATGTGTATTTAAAAATATATTTTTTTTAATTTATTAATTTGCATAATGTTGACGAATAATTATAATAAATGTTAAAAATGTAAAATTGAAAAGAAATGAGAATTTTGACGGAATATTAACGACAAAGATCACCACTTTGGGAGAAGATAAACGACGCCGTAAAAGCGAATAAAAAGGAAAATCAAAATGCGACGCCGAAAATGGAACCCGGCCAATTAAAATAAAAGAAAAAGGTTTAAAAAAAAAAGGAATATTAATAATTAAATAAGCGGCCAGCGAGGATTAGAAGTCCTTGCGGTGGGCCCCGTGGACCCCACAAGATGCTATTTGACTTCTTCTTCACCGTCCAATCCAACCAGACTCCTAGGGACTATAAAAATTAATATAATAATAATATAATAAATAAAACTTCAATCGGTTACCCTTTTTCTTTAATTATAAAATATTCTGATTTTATATTTTATATAAAAAATATTCTTTCATAATATTTTTTAAATAAAAAAATTTAATTAAATTTAATATTTGGTATAAAAAGAAGATTTTAAAAAGCTTCTAAAATATTCCTTAATTTTTAAAAGCAGTTAAAAAAATTTAATATCGGGTTAAAGTGAAAATGAGAGAGGGAGTGAGAAACAATTAGATAAATAGAGTTGGAGATGAGATTATATTATCCCGCCTAATGTTGTGCTTTATTTAATATAAATATACTTTTAACAAATATTTTAAAAAAAATAGTTAATTATATATATATATATATATATATATATATTTCTTTATTAAATATATTGATTATTGAAAAAAAAAACTACCATTTTTAAGTAAGATTATATTAAAAAAAATGAAAATTTTAAAATAATTATTTTTTTAAAAAAATTATATGCATGACAAAATATGTGGCGAGAATAGGACGGGTTGACCCATGTGGAAATAAATATTAAAACATTCATTTATTATTTTAACGGTTTGTTTTATGATATATAAATATATTTTCAATATATCGATAATAATCGTAACAATAGTTTGATAAATGTCTTAAAATTATATTAAACTTTCTATCTAATGTCACCATCATCTTAAAAATTAAAATTAAATACTATAAAGTTTGAAAACATTCAAGAACCACGTTGACTTTGTAACATTTTTCAACCATTATTGGACCAAAAAAAAATTATTGTCGTATTTATATCCTCCTTTAATTTTTATTTCAATTTTCTAGAAAAATATAAAATAAAAAGGAAGAAAATAACTGAAGGTTTAAAGAACATTAAATAACTAGTTAAAGAGGTTACTAATTCAGACAACCCATGAATTTAGTCAGAATTAGAATTGAAATTTACTGGGTCCAGATTCGATCGAGTTTGACCGAGTTTGTTAGCGGTGAATTGGTATCAAAGCTAAAGGTCAAGCGGTGTGCTTGTGTTGTTACAAATGGTGTTAGGACAAAACATCAGTGTATCAACGATGAGGTTGACCCCAAAATGGTAGTGGGAGAGAAGAACGAAATATTCTCTGGAAACGGGTCAACTATACGGTCAAAGTTTGACTTGAAAATTAATAAATTTTGGGATTATTAAATTAAAATAAAACATAATGGACAACCTTGGAAGATTCTCTATTGGATCGGGGCGGAGGGCGATGTATGTGGACATACAATGGGTCCGATGACACCGCGTGTTCTTCACACACACACTCCCTGCATCACTTATAAAATCCATCCCCCTTCATGAGCTTACGTCAATGGCGGCAATTTAACGCAAAATTCCACCCATTTCTTCGCCGGAGCTTTCTGTCGTTGAAATCTCTGTTTCAAATGGCCGACAACTGCCACCACCAAGCTCTCAACATCTCACCTCCGCCGCATCACCACGGCGGCGACATTGGGGTTTTCGACGACGATGGCCGCCCGAACCGGACCGGTGAGACATGGGGTTAGGATTTGTCAATTTAAGGTTTTGATTTTGATTTTGATTTTTCAAAACAGGGAATGTTTGGACGGCGAGTGCTCATATTATAACGGCGGTTATTGGGTCGGGTGTTTTGTCGTTGGCTTGGGCAATAGCACAGCTGGGATGGGTGGCTGGACCCGCCATGATGGTGGTGTTTTCCGCCGTGACTTATTTCACCGCCAATCTTCTCGCCGTGTGTTACCGCTCCGGCGACTCTGTTAACGGCAAGAGAAACTATACTTACATGGACGCCGTCAGAAACAACCTCGGTAACAATAAAAACCGACACGACACGAATTTTTAATAATAATGTTTTAATTAATAATCTGTTGTGTTTTTTTTCAGGTGGGTTCAAGGTGAAATTATGTGGAGTGGTTCAATATGGCAATCTTTTTGGAATTGCCATTGGATACACCATAGCCGCATCCATAAGCATGATGTTAATATCATTTTTTTTTAAAATTTTGTTCTTAATTTCTTGAGCTGATTGAATTATTTAATGGGTATGAACAGGGCAGTTAAAAGATCCAACTGTTTCCACAAAAGTGGGGGCAAGAATCCTTGTCATATGAACAGCAATCCTTACATGATTTCGTTTGGTGTGGTGGAAATTTTGCTGTCGCAAATTCCAGATTTTGATCAGTTATGGTGGTTATCGACCGTTGCTGCTGTCATGTCTTTTACTTACTCCACGATTGGGCTTGTTCTTGGGGTCATTCAAGTTGCAGGTTGGTTATTATGGTTTGAAACATGTTGGTTTAGGTCAAATTCATAGTGTAATGATCTGAGTTTGTTGTTGTTTTTGTTCTTGTTCAGTTAATGGGAAAATTAAGGGTAGTCTTACAGGAGTCAACACTGGTACTACTGAAAAGGTTTGGAACAGCTTCCAAGCGCTTGGGGACATTGCTTTTGCTTACTCTTTTTCCATGATCCTCATTGAAATTCAGGTAAAAGACGAGAAATGAAACATTTCTTATATAAGTGTAGAAATTCCTCGTGAGTGTGATTTAAAATTTTGAGCGGAAGCTTAGAAGGGAAAGCTCAAAGAGTACAATATTTGTTAGCGGCTGGCTTGGACGGACACGGAACCGTGTGAGGCGTAGATTGTGAGATTCCATATCGGTTGGAGAGAAGAATGAAACATTTCTTGTTAAGGTGTAGAAACGTCTCCCTAGCGGACGCGTTTCAAAACCTTGAGAGAAAGCCCAAAAAGGACAATATCGGCTACTAGTTGGCTTGAGTTGTTACAAAGTATATCATAGCACCAGGCGATGTGCCAGTGAGGACGCTGGCCCCCAAGGAGGTGGATTGTGAGATCCCACCTCGGTTGGAAAAGGGAATGATACATTCCGTGTAGAAATCTCTCCCTAGTAAATTGGGTTTAAAATCTTGAGAGAAAGTTTAGAAGGGAAAGAAAAAAAAACAATATCTGTTAGTGGTTGGCTTGGATTGTTACAAATGGTATCAGAGTTAGATACTGGACGATGTGCTAGCGAGGACGCTGGGCTCCTAACAGGGTAGATTGTGAGATCTCATGTCAGTTGGAGAGGAGAACGAAACATTCTTTATAAAGGTGTAGAAACCTATTCCTAATAGACGCATCTTAAAATCTTGAGCGAAGCCCAGAAGGAAAAGTTAAAAAAGGACAACATCTGCACTTGGGCTGTTACGAATGGTATATGAGCCAGACACTGGGCGGTGTGCCAGCGAGGACGCTGGACCTCAAGAGAGTGGATTGTGAGATCCCACATCGGTTGGAGAGGGGAACGAAACATTCCTTATAAAAGTATAGAAAACTCTCCCTAGAATACGCGTTTTAAAACCTTAAGAGGAAGCCCATAAATGAAAGTCCAAAGAGGACAATATCTGCTAAGGGGTATGCATACGAGCTTGTCTAAGCATGCTCGGGATTTGAACTAATGGGTTTTGTAAGTTGAAGTATTTGGTGTTTCATTTTCATGTAGGACACTATCAAAGCCCCTCCATCAGAAGTCAAGACAATGAAGAAGGCCAGTACTCTAAGTGTAGCAGTGACAACAATTTTCTACGTACTCTGTGGCTGTATGGGGTATGCAGCCTTTGGGGACTTAGCTCCAAGCAACCTCCTAACCGGGTTCGGCTTCTACAACCCGTATTGGCTTATCGACATAGCGAACATTGCCATTGTAGTGCATCTCAGTGGTTCATACCAAGTTGTTTGCCAACCCCTCTTCTCGTTCATTGAGAAATTCGTGTCGAACCGATTCCCAGATAGCCAATTTGTCGAACAACACATCAAGATCCCAATCCTGGGCTTCCGCTCCTTCAAACTCAATCTCTTTAGGTTAGTTTGGAGGACGATGTTCGTGATCCTCACCACTTTGATCGCGATGCTCCTTCCGTTCTTCAACGACGTCGTCGGACTGCTCGGAGCCATGGGGTTTTGGCCTCTCACTGTTTACTTCCCAATTGAAATGTACATTGCACAAAAGAAGATCCCAAAATGGAGCCCAAGATGGATAACCCTCCAAATTGTAAGCATGATTTGCTTGGTGATCTCCATTGCTGCAGCAGCTGGCTCAGTAGCTGGAATTATTCATGATGCTAAGTCAGTTAAGCCCTTTCACGCCAGCTACTAATTCAATACTAATTTTTTTTAGCTTTCAATCCCTCAAAAGGAAACTAAAGTATTCCTATGGGAAGTTCATCTGGAGTAATGAAACTGTAACTTCTACTCGGTTCTTAATTGATCTAATCTAATCAACATGAGATTTCACAATAATTCAGCTGTGCAAGACATGGGTCGGAATAGAGCTAGACCCACTTCATGGTAGACGCGTTTTAAAATCGTGAGGCTAATGACAAGACGTAACGAGCTGAATCAGACAATATCTTCTATGGTGGTCTTGGGCTGTTACAAATGATTGTGAGATCCTATATTGGTTGGACGAGGGAACTAAAGATTTCTTACAAGGGTGTGGAAACTTATCATTTGTATACGTGTTATAAAATCACGAAGCTGACAACGATACGTAACGAGTCAAAGCGGACAATATTTACTAGCTATAGGCTTTGATTGTTACACTTGTCATGTTGTTTATGATCAACAAGCATGGTTTTCTAATGTCTCATAGACATAAAACGTATGTGTTGAAATAGTTTAAATGACATGTATATGGAAGTTCGTGCGTCAAACAACATTGATAATACAACATAGTTTCATAACACGACATAAACACAACATAGTACAAATCAAATAATCACAAACACATGACATGTACATTGACCATAGGAGACAATCCAACCAGTCAATGCGTAAACTCACTTAGTTTGACTAAGTCAAAGTGAATTCTACCGTGAAAATGAGCTCACCTAATTTAAATAAATAATCTATCACTTTTAATTTAAAACAAGATATTAACGATCTCATCTTGCATTTTTAATGTTATTTAAGGTCAAGGGTATTATTGTAATTTTTAAAAGTTCATCCGTATTTTTAAAACGTGATATTAACGATTTTTTTCTTGTTTTATTTTATTAAAATTGAAGCATTAATGCGAGTACATTTATATATTTAAAAATAAATATAATATTTAAGGATATTTATTTATAATTTAGTTTAAAATTATCTTTTAGAACCATTCTCAAACCTCAAAGCATTTTAAAAATGGAAATAAAATAAAATAAAATAATAAATAATTAATTACCTGGATTTTTTTTTTCAACCCTCCTTTAATTTTAATTTAAATTGGAATTTGCTTAGACTTTTTTATATTTAATTTTATTATTAGGATGGTAATTGGTTTGGATTGATTCGAGTTGTTTAAATTAATTAATTAATTATTTATTTATCTATTTAATTATTATTTTAATATATATGTTGAAAAATTAGTCGGAGAATAAAAATAATTATAAAAATAAATAATTTTTTTTGAAATATTCAGTTATTACATAATTTTTATTTTTATTTTAAATTATATAATTTTCATTTCACAATAAGACATGGTAGTGGGCCCCACTGATTGCCACGTGGTGCTCACAAACCACCTATAAATAACACCCCCTTCTGCATTTCTTCTTCATCATAACCAAAAATCTCCGTTTTTTTTTTTTCAAAAAAAAAAAAAAAGTTTCTCTGTAAACGGAACCATTTTTGGATTCCTGCAGCTCTTTGGAGCTCGCGTCAATGGTGGAAGTTTAACGCCCCCGTGACTTCGGGACACCTTTTAAAATTCCACCCATTTCCTTCACCGGAGCTTTTTCTCGTTGAAACCTCTGTTTTCAATGGCTGAAAACCGTCACCAACAAGCTCTGGACATCTCAGCTCCGCCGCTGCAGCACGGCGGCGACAGTGGGGTTTTTGATGACGATGGCCGTCCAAAGCGGACAGGTGAGTTTTCATGTGGGGATTTGTCGTTTTCATAAGTGGATTTTGAGATTTTCATGTTTTTGAATAGGTTCTGTTTGGACGGCGAGTGCTCATATTATAACGGCGGTTATTGGGTCGGGTGTTTTGTCGTTAGCTTGGGCGGTTGCGCAGCTGGGATGGGTGGCTGGACCTGCCATGATGGTGATGTTTTCGGCGGTGACTTATTTTACTTCCACTTTTCTCGCCGCCGGTTACCGCACCGGCGACCCTGTTAACGGCAAGAGGAACTATACTTATGTGGACGCCGTCAGAAACAACCTCGGTATCTCAGAAAAACAAGAAATTTAATAAGAAAAAAAAAAAAAGGGTAAATTTTAATTTTTAATTAATCTCTTATTATTTTCTCAGGTGAATTCAAGATGAAATTTTGTGGAGTGGTTCAATATGTCAATCTTTTTGGAGTATCCATTGGATACACAATAGCTGCATCCATAAGCATGATGTTAGTATCATTTTTTAAAATTTTCTGTTCTTAATTTCTTGAGCTGATAGCATTATTTCATGGGTTTTTTTTTTTTTTTTTGGTATGAACAGGGCAATCAAGAGATCCAATTGCTTCCACAAAAGTGGGGGCAAGAATCCTTGTCATATGAACAGCAATCCTTACATGATTTCATTTGGAGTAGTGGAAATTTTGCTGTCTCAAATTCCAGAGTTTGATCAGTTATGGTGGTTATCTACCGTTGCTGCTGTCATGTCTTTTACTTACTCCACGATTGGGCTTGTTCTTGGGGTCATGCAAGTTGCAGGTTGCTTATTGTCGTTTGAAGGCTCTTAATTTACCTCAAATTCATAGCATAATCACCTGAGATTCTTGTTGTTGTTCTTCAGAGAATAGAAAATTTAAGGGCAATCTTACAGGAGCTGATCCTGGCACTGTCGAAAAGGTTTGGAATAGCTTCCAAGCCCTTGGAGACATAGCTTTCGCTTACTCGTTTTCGAACGTTCTCATTGAAATTCAGGTAAAAAAGATACGAAAAGAACGAACTTTTCTTGTTTTCTGTGTCACTGTGTCTGTGTCTATCTGATCTGATAACTATTCGATTTTTTAACGAGTTATGTGAGTGTGTTGCATTTTTATGTAGGATACTATCAAAACTCCTCCATCAGAAATCAAGACAATGAAAAAGGCAAGTCGTATGAGTATAGCAGTGACAACAACTTTCTACTTACTATGTGGCTGTATGGGGTATGCAGCCTTTGGGGACTCAGCACCAAGCAACCTCCTAACCGGGTTCGGCTTCTACAACCCGTATTGGCTTATCGACATAGCGAACTTAGCCATTGTAGTGCATCTCATTGGTGCATACCAAGTTATGTCTCAACCTATATTCTCGTTCATTGAGAAATTCGTGTCGAACCGATTCCCAGATAGTCAATTCGTCAATAAAGATGTGAAGATCCCAATCCTCGGCTTTCGGTCGTTGAAACTCAAACTCTTTAGGATGGTTTGGAGGGCGATATTCGTGATCATCACCACTTTGATCTCGATGCTCGTTCCGTTCTTCAATGATGTCACTGGACTGCTAGGAGCCATAGGGTTTTGGCCTCTCACTGTTTACTTCCCAGTTGAAATGTACATTGCTCAAAAGAAGATCCCAAAATGGAGCCCAAGATGGATAGCCCTCCAAATTCTGAGCATGACTTGCGTGGTGATCTCCATTGCTGCAGCAGCTGGGTCAGTAGCTGGAATTATTCATGATGTTAAGTCAGTTAAGCCCTTTCACACCAGCTACTAGTTCAGTACAAGGTTGTTTTACCTGTCATTGATCACCTGCTGCTGAAGAAGAACAAAACCAACTTCTGTATTGTTTTTAAATGTCTGTAAATGGTGAATCTAAGAGATCCACAACTAGACTATTCCTATGCAAATCGTTACTTTTTCTCCCCATTTTGCCTCGCTGTTCTCGATCATAGAACAAATCACACGTCTCACGAAAATAGTTGAAGTATGCATGAACGAGTATAGACACTCGAATGAATAGTTAAAGTATGCATTAGCTGATTCAGACACTTAGATGAATGGTTAAAGTACGCATTAGCTAATTCAGACACTTAGATGGATGGTTAAAATACGCATTAGCTAGTTTAGACACTCGGATGAATAATTGAAGTATGCATTTAGTTAGTTTCAACACTCGGATGAACGACTAAAGTATGTGTTAGCTAGTTTAGATACTTAAATAAATAATTGAAGTACGCATTAGCTAGTTTCGACACTCAAATGAACAGTTGAAGTATGTGTAGCTAATTCAGACACTCAGATGAATAGTTGAAGTATGCATTAGCTAGTTCAGATGAATAGTTGAAGTACGCATTAGCTAGTTCCAACACTCAGATAAACGGTTGAAGTATGTGTTAGCTAGTTCAGACACTCAGATGAATAGTTAAAGTACGCATTAGTTAGTTCCAACACTTAGATAAACAGCTGAAGTATACATTAACTAGTTCCGACACTCATTGAAGTACGCATTGGCTAGTTCCAACACTCAGATAAACAGCTGAAGTATACATTAACTAGTTCCGACACTCATTGAAGTACGCATTAGCTAGTTCCAACACTCAGATAAACAGCTGAAGTATACATTAACTAGTTCCGACACTCAAATGAAAAATTGAAATATGCATTAGCTAGTTCCAACACTTAGATGAACGGTTGAAGTATATGTTAGCTAGTTCAAACACTCAAATGAACAGTTAAAGTATGCATTAGCTAGTTCCGACAATCAGATGAACGGAAATTTTTTTATTGTATATACACATAGTAAAACTAAGTTTATAATAGATAATATCACATTGACTTTTAAGTATATGAATAGTTTAATTGCAAAATGACAAAAAAAAAAAACAACAAAGAACGTTACATTTGAAAAAAAACTACCATTTCCTGTTACTTGTCTGTTTGTTTTCCTTTGACTTTTTCCGACATTTCCTGGACCAAAAACTTTTGTGACATGTTTTCACTGTCTCATAAATATTAAAGACAAATTTGATTTAAACCCCACTTTTTTTCTTTTCAAAATATACTTCAAATTATTCCCAACAGAACATTTACAAAGCAAGTAAAGCAACCAAATAAAAGGTAATGAGTTCATTTGCTTTTAGAACAAAGTAAAACTTACCATTTTAGAGGTTGCCATGCACGGTAAACTCATTGACTTTTTTACCATTTGCTAATGGAGCTTTGGTCTATGCAAGTTCCTCACTGCTGAATTTGTTATGAGCTTCCTGTTTCAAACAAATAAACGATTGATCGACTAATGAAACTCTAAACTTTCGATTTCATGTCTATTAGGTTGTTCGAGTTTGCTACTCATTT